GAAGTTGTGTCTATTACTTCCAAAATACTACTTAAATGTTTTAAGTAGTTTCACAGCAGGGTGTACAGCCCACCATATTATTATTATTATCATTATTTGTCCTATGGGTTCCTAGTGGAACATAGAGCTTCATTACCACGTCACCGCTCCACTCTGTTTTCTTCAGTCTTCGTAACCTGGCTCCATGAATCCTGATAAGCTTTCATTTCTTCCTCACATCACACTCGAACGCCATACTAGTCCTTTCTTATTTGGCTTCTACTCAACGGCCTGACCTGACGTGTGATGTTTCTGAATGATCTTCTCAGTCTATGTCCAATCCAATCCAATCCATCGCCATTTTCTTCTTCTGCATATTTGTTCGGAGACAGCTTCTCGCCCCGTCGGTTGGTTCGTTGCCAGGCCACACTTTCTCCTTGCTTATTCTCTCTCGCCTTCTCATCTCATCTAATCTTCAGTATGGAACGAGCGTAGGCAGCAGCTGTTCATGTATGTCTGCTGCAGTTTGTTGGAAGGAAATGCTTTTCGTAAGGCGCCAAGTCTCTCAACCATCATCACATAGAAGCACTGACTTACTTGACTGAATTAGTGTTGAAAATCCGGATCTTGTTGTTTATGTTGAGTGCATTGCAGTGTAGTTTTGTAGTTCAATAGATCTCCACGCTGATCTTTACAGGTTAAAAACAAGATATTCAGTGAAGAGGAGGACTCTTTTCAACGAATTTATTCTCAACCTGTACATTCGTGTATACATATATGATATCTGAAAACTATAATCCGTGGGGAGGATTTAACTTCAGTAATGAAGGGGGTGAAATAATAATAATGGTGGTTATAATTATAATATTGCTAGTTGATGACGTAAAGGTGCTCAACCTCCCATTATTCAAGTTAAATCTTCCCCACTCATAGAGTCTTTAAATACCATATGTATACGAATGTACAGCTTGAGAATAACCTCCACAGATCAACCAAGGCCTGTCTTACTGTCTTTCCAATGTTGGCTTTGACATCGTCATCTGTGCAGCCGCCACCCCCTGGAGTTCAAACGATACTTCCTAGGTAGGTAGATAGGAGAGAAAACTTCCTTTATATTTCTCCCATTCACGGTGATTGGCGCTTGTTGTTGTTGTTGTTCTCTGTTAAGCATCGTCATCACCTCTGTCTTCTCTACATTCACCTAAAAGAAGTCCCGTCTTCGCTGCCCTGCCTCTTCTGTTGACTAGTTAGTTTTTGCCTGTAGATCTTTCAGTTTGTGCAACATAAATATTAGACATAAATCATCATGGGTGAAATACATATCTCCATGGATTAATGAAGGCCTGTCTTAATGTCTTTCCGATCCTGGCTTTGAAATCCTTATCTGTGCCACTTGTAGCTGAGAGTAGTAAAATCTAATTAGTAATAATCGTAAAACACCTTCACTATGGTTCTCAATGAAAAGCAAAATATTTACACGATTGTGAACATGAATAAAGTGATTGCCGGTGTCTAACACCATTCAGTAGCTTTCAATGATATACTAAGGTTTTCCAAACACCTGGTAGATTTCTTGCTCATTTCATATTGAATCTATGAGCAGTGTATTCGAACTGACTAACTCCAAAGAGGTAAATCATCCAAAATACTAATTTTATGATGAATAAAATTTCAAATCCACCTCAGTGTTGATCATAAAAGAGATCCAAGTAACGTCTGATAATTCGCGTTGACAAATGTCTTCATTTGCACAGATGTAGTGGTGTAATTTGGAATACCACCATCAAAGTGTAAGTTTGCCACTTGAATCCCCATCCATTATAAAATGTGTTAAAGTTAATCCTTTTTTTATTACCTAATTGTTTTCCAGTAGTATAAAAGGCTTGATTTTAAATTTTCAACATACAACATATCAAGAGAATTTTCGAGAAAACTGAAACACCTCGTTCAATCATGTGGACATTTCATCAAGTCATCAACAGAATTCTTAGAAAAGATCAAAAACATTAACATAGAAAAGGATGAATTAATAGTATCCTTCGATGTTACATCACTATACACATCCATCAAACCCCAATTGGTCAAGGAAACTATGTCCCTTCTGCTCAATGAAGACACAAGCCTTTCAGAATGCACAAAACTTAAATGTTCAAGTCTGATAGGACCCATCGACCTTTGTCTGACAACATACTTCCAATTCAGTGGCAAGATATACAAACAGATGAAAGGAACTCCAATGGGATCACCGATGCAGAGACTGGAAGCCATCATTCTACTTGGCATCAAACCAAAAATTTGGATTCGTTATGTGGACGACACTTTTGTCATCATTAAAAAGATTATGTAAACAACACTCACAGTTTGATCAACAACGTTTTCCCCAATGACATCAAATTCATAATGCAGAAGGAGTCGAACAACCAACTACCATTCATGGATATTTTAGTCAGTAGGACAAATGCCGGAATGCTGGAAACCCAAGTGTATAGGAAGCCAACACACACTGACTAATCAAATATTCAACTACAGTAGCAACAACACACAAACTTAGTTGCCTGAAGACTCCATTCAAAAGAGCGAGAACCCACTGCAGCAGAACAACTTCAAAGAGAAATGAAGAAAATTACTTGATGTCTATCCTAAAGAAGAACGGCTAATCACAAAACTTTATCACAAGATGCCTATCCCGTACATCACCAACTACAAAGCCATCGACAGAAATCAATAAACGCATCATCCTACCATACATAAAGAAGATGTATCAGAAATCATGACAACATTACTGACACCACTTGGAATTCTTGTGGCACCGCATAAACCAACAAATTGACTCCAAACACTAATATGCAGACCAAAGGATACAACAACCAAAGAAGACAAACCGAATATCATTTACAAAATCAACTGCAATAACTGTAGTCAACACTACATTGGACAAAGTGGTCACCCACTTCGCCTTCATCTAAATGAACATCAATTCACTATTAAACGCCACACACGACATTTCATCACTCATTTCAATGCATGTGGATAACAACTATGGACATGAATTCGATTTCGACAATGTAGAAATCTTAGGTGGAGAGGGGAAACACAAAAATATCAGAGAATTCCTAGAAGCTTGACATTCACGTCAATCAGTCAGCAGTCAACAGATGTATAGACATAGACCGAATCTACCAACCAATAAGAAAAATGATAAACGACAGAAAGGTCAGAGATCAAGCAGTGAGACAGACAATAGGAGGTTCAATGCAGTCAGACGATGACACAGCAATCGAAGGAGACAATCAATCACAGATCACTTCGTCAAGGCAAGCTACTTAATCACTGACGGAGAGATATTGACAGGTCACTTCATACTGAAGTTAGTACTGATGATGTCGTCTAGCAAGACAATGAAGGCTTCACGATTACACAAGCCAGCTCAGAGAACACAATACAACCAAGATCATCCACCTGAGCTACTTATTTTCAACTCTTTTCATCAAGATTGCAAGTTGATTACCGACAACCTTTTGAATTATACCTACGATGAATATAGTTTCAAAAACTTTCATTACAAATATACAAGTGAAGAAAACAACATACCTACTGGAGGGTACGTTAGTTCCCAACAGTATAACTCTACCGCTTGTAATTAACATGACTTCTGGTAGATATATGAAAGCGGTCTTCATCGGAGATCTACATCAGTTTGAAAATCCCTTAAAATGAAGTTTTAGATTGTCAGAAACTGTAATAAATACATTAACTCTTCAATAAATTTCTCCTACGCATAAATTTTCTCATATATCAAACATTAAACCAATCATGATGGATTATTTAGTCTATGGTAAATAGGAAATAAACCCTACAAATAGTAGATATGTAGACAATCATAATAATAGTGGTAATAATAATAATTATCTCAGTTGGTAGAGTATCAGGCCGGAAATCGTATGGTCAGTGGTTGGAATCCGGTTGTGGTCCAGATTTTCATCTCACCTTCAATCATTACTCATACTGCAAGTCTGTCAAACTATGGCTGGGATCTCAGATAGTCAAATGATAACTGAATCTTTGTTAATCGAATCAACACCTAACACATACAGCAACAGAAATGATTGAGCACCTGTTCTGAATATGACAATTATGGACAATAAACTATGTATGAAACATAATCCAGTAAACAATACTGTTCAATCACTGTGTGATAAATCTTATAAATCAATAAAAATGGAATTACATTCTACTACAGTGCACACGTTTTATCATTATTTTTCCGTTGGGTTCCTAGTGGAACACAGGACCTCAGTAGCACGCCTCCATTCCACTCTCTTCTCTGCAATCTTTTGAACCTGGCTCTACGACTGCTCACAAGCTTTCATTTCTTCCTCACACCATCTCCTCCATGTCACCCTTGCCACAGACGCCCAACTTATCGTTCTCCATCTGAGTTCCACTCGGGTGCCTGGCCTGGCGCATGATGTCCCGGAATGCTCTTCTCATTACATGCCCAGAACAAGTTTTACTCTTATATTCATAAGCAAAACAATATTGTTCACGCTGAAATGTTATGCTATATCGTGAGCTAACAGAAGTTGGATATATAGACCATTGGATTCTCACTCAATGGCTAGGTCAATGGTAACGTGCTGGTCACGGAACCTGAAGGTCGTGGGTTCGATCCCTGGTGATGCGGGGTCATGGGTGCTCGCTGCTCAGGATTCCCATACTAGGATGAAACAGCCAGTTGTCCAGTGTTCCCAAGTTTCCTTTGTTCCTCCAACTCATGTCAGTCATCGACGATAAATAACAACTTGAAATTCTTCTAATTTGATACTTAGTAATCTTCAACGTGAATTTTACATACAATCAAAGATCAGGGAGACGCCTTTCATTTGAATATAAACTAAATTGAATCTAGAATTGATTGACTGAAAAATTTTTGTGATTATTGAATAAGTTGTGATGTAAATTGAATATCTAACCCTCCACGTTCTCTCTCTTTTCTGTCTATCTATCTATCTTCAATACAGGTCTGCCTACACTCCTGATATCGATTCGCGGTGTGTTGAATTTTATTAAATATCCGACAGAGTAAGTTTTACGTCATTGATTCTTTTGATTTGACCGGGGGGGCGGGGGAAGAAACATATGATTTGAAACAATAACAATTATCCAATACAGTTTACTGGTGAATTGAATTAAGCCTTACACAATTCAGTTAACACAAGAAACAAATCAATTTTGCATAGTTATCAATTAAACTTTTATGAAAAGTGTGAGAACAACCATACATGACAGTTGAGAATATTTGGATTGTATATCTGATAATATGAATGGTTTCAACTACTTATTCGATTAATCAGTAGTATATTTAGTCAGTCTAAAGAAGTATTTGTTACAGCTGTATAGATGCAAAACAGCGTTTTGAATAATTTCCAGACTGATAATTCATTACCAAAACTTAACATTATCCATCTTGATTATGATTTGACTATCTAAGCTAGCCGTAGTTTGGCAGACTAGTATTTGTACTGCGTGATGATTGAAGATGAGATGAGGTTGCGGTCCAGATTTTCATCTCATCTTCAATCATCACGCAGTACAAATACTAGTCTGCCAAACTACGGCTAGCTTAGATAGTCAAATCATAATCAATGTGACGCTCCCCCTCTCTGATCCAGTTAGATTTGGATTGGGATGAGAAATCCTGACTAGGGGCAGCCAGTATGAGTATGACCAAGAGGTGGTAACGCGTCACGGATTCACATGGTAGTCGGGCAAAACCCTTAGTGATCAAAGTGAAATAAAGTTCTGGTCAGCAGTCGGACCTCGTAGGTGAGTTGGTAGAGCCGGTAACCCAGTGGTCACTGCCTCGAATCCGGCCGTAGTCCTAATTGTTATTTCACTTTCAATCATCACCCTGTACAATTATCAGTCTTGTGTTGATTAGGTTGGTAGTGAAGTTTTGGATATCAGAAGTGAGTAGTGTAGACTTACCCCACCAAGAGAGCATCAATTACCTTGTGATTGTAGACATAACCTACTGATGAGTGCCAAGATGTGCAAAAGCTAGACTTGACAGGGCTTTCTGTTGACTGACTTTCAACACTTACCACCAACCGTACCATATTATTGTTGTCCTTAGACGAACATATAGTTGTATGTGAATATGAGGTGACGAAAGAAAGTGAGTGGGGAGGAGGGCGCCACTAAAGAGAGGAAATTGCAGTCAGTCTTTCACCGGACAGTTAATCTTCCTTCTTTCGCATATTCAGAAGTGAATGTCTATTTTGAAGTGTTAGCCTGTAAATATTTAGCACAGAATGACTGTAAAACATTATTTTCATGATAGTAACTGGTTACTAGCACATGACCATTGCTCGAACTAGTTAAAAGTACTAAAAGGATATCAGTTTGTTAAGAATTGATGACTGTCGAAAAGTTACAAACCGGGATGAGGCAGAACTTTCTAAACACCCTCTCTAGTCAATCAGTATGTCGGTAAAAAGTCACATGGCAACTATTAGTGTTATTTTGCAGAAACAGTATAGCTAAATCATAATAATGTCTTCGGTTATTATACAGCATTATCTCGGTTCAGTAAATCTATCTGTCACAATTAAGTTCCAAGAGGAACACTCATGTCTAGGTGAATATTAATTCATTTTTGTTATAATATCCGGTTGCTATGCCGGGCCGAATTGCTCGACCTCTGTTAGCAGATAGGCCTCTATGTGGATCCCTCAAAACTACCGGATATTTATCATCTTGTACTGATCTTGAAGACTAGCAGAGGAACCTAGGATGCATGTTTCGTCCTATCTGGAACTCGTCAGCTAGGTGTACCTGTACCCCAATGCAGAATGATGTTGTATTACTACAGCAACTGACACTCGTTGCACAAGAGGTGGTTATCGTGTCCCAGTGGCTTAGTGGAAACACTGGTGTTTGAAGTGAATGGTAATGGGTTTGAGCCTCGGTGAGAACAACATCACTCTGCACTGGGGTGCAGGTGCATCCAGCTGACGAGTCCCAAAATAGGACCAAACATGTGTCCTGGATTTCGCTGCTAGCCACCAAGATCATCTTGACATCAACTCATTTTGTTTAGGATGATTTAATAAGACTTGTACTATGAACTATTCCAACCAACAAGCTCTTACGAAATGTGCAACAATAACAACATGATAACCAGAAGAAAAGTAGCCCAGGAAGGGAAAAGCTACTACCAATCGTTTCGGTCAACATCTAATGCATAAAAACGAAATTAATTTCACTAGTAATGTAATATCACCTATCTAGGCAGCATCGTTTCAACTACAGGCGGTATAGACGAGGACGTCAAAGCCAGTCAAGATCGGAAAAACAGCAAGGCAGGCGTTCATTAACCTGAAATCAGTGTGGAGATCTTCTGCACTCCACTGCACTGCACTCAGCATAAAGCGTGAACAATATCGGATTTTCAACACCAATTCAGTCAAGTAAGTCAGTGCTTCTATGTGATGGTTGAGAGACTTGGGCATCACGAAAAGCATTTCAACAAACTACAGACATTCATAAATATCTGCCACCTACGCTCACTCGATACTGAATATCAGATGGCCAGAAAGAATAGGTAACAAGGAACTCTGGTGTGGCTACGAACCAACCAACAACCTATCACCCAACAAACATGCACTGGAAGGAAGTGGAGGTGGATAGAGCATGTACTGAGAAGGCCATTCGGGACATCATGCGCCGGGCTAGGCACTCGAGTGGAACCAGATGGGAAACGGTGACTTGGGCATCCCAGCTGAGGGTGACATGGAGGAGATGGTGTGAGGAAGAAATGAGAGCTTATGGGAAGTCGTTGCACCAGTTTCAAAAGATTGCAGAGAAGGAGTGGAATGGAATCGTGCTACTGAAGTCCTATGTTCCACTAGGAGACCAAGGGACAAATAATGATTAGTAATATAATATTAGTACATAGGATAGTTGTATAAACGTTTCAGTAAGGTTATGTGGTGTTGACAACACCAGTTCAAATTACTGAGGTTAGTAATTAGTACTACTGGAAAGTTTCAATGAGCATGATTTCTGGGTCAAGCATGACATCAAGCTCACTGCGCACAACCGTTTTGGAATCGAAATGTTCTGCCTTTCATCCTGGTAGGGCTGTAGATGCGTACTGTTGAGGATTTCCAACTTTTGCTGATGAATTTCCTGCTCCTATTCTGGGTAACTTCTCGTTTTCAGTTTGTGGAGATTTTAACTCATGTGACTACAGTTTTCTAGTATCATTGGGTCAGGAAAATATGGTTAACTTTTCCACTCGTCTTGACAACACTCTAGACTTTGCACTTACAAATGAACCTGGCATATATGAAGCCTATTAACGGACTCCACTGATAAATCCCGATCACTGTATCGTCCGTGTTTTGCCTAAGGTGTACGGCAAATTATACAAGAAAGTTTTCGGATACCTTTCCAAGAAACTTCAGAACAGATGTTATTCGCAAGAGTATATATTACGTTTGAGAAGCATGCTTATAGAAACGACTGGGATATATTTGCTGATGAAGTTTTAGACAACACTATTGCCGATATCACAAGCTATCTCGGATTCTGTCTCGATATCTGCTGCCCTACTAAAACAATTTACATGAGATTTGACAGACTTTCCTCTCCTCGTCGCAAAAGGCTTCGGAGAGAAGAGGAAAGGTTGTATAAGGCGAGAGATCAGCCTGGAGTTAAAAGGATTAACTGCCTAATTAAGTCCGTAATACAACGTCTGAATACTATATACAACAAGAAGTTCTTATCGTGTAAGAACTCTTCCAATGTATGGAAATTATTTAAAGAGCTTAATGGTAGAAAACAGTAACAGAAGGAGCTTGTTCGGATGTCTGTGCGTTAAACAAGTCATTCACACGTCGGCAAGCTGATTTCACCCTTCACAATGTCCAAAGTCAAATGGATGGCTGCTTTCCAGGTTTTAATACACATGGTGTATGTAAATGTCTAAAATCCTTGAATCCATCTCAAAGCTTAGATCTTGATGGTGTTTCTGGGATTATATTTACAGAATGTTCAGATATTTTATGTCATCCCCTTCCAGATATCTTCAATGTATCATTTTCTAAAAACATAATACCCACTGCTTGGAAGAAGATCAAGATTGTACCTGTGCCTAAGCCCTCTTCTGGATCAGATGTTACTTTTCGACCATTTCAATAACTTCCCCTTTTCTGAAGACAATGGAGAAATTACTTCTCCTTGTGATTGAGCCTTCATTGATGGCCTTCAGAGATCCAAAACAGTTTGCTTACAAACACAGGAGAAGTGCTTTAGATGCTGCCACTGTCTTGCATCGTAATATTGTATCTAGTCTCGAAAAAGATGTTAAGTATGTTCTCCGTGCCTTTTTGAATTGATTAATCAACAGCCTTTGACTCTGTTCCTAGACCACTTTTGTTCAATAAGCTTTCCATGGCTGATACTAAGCCTTGGTTACAAAGTGGCTGTACTCTTACTTTTCTGAAAGGAAACAGTATACTATCTATAAAGGGAAGCGCTCGACTCATTGTTTACTGAAGCTGGTATACCTCAAGGTGCTGTACTTTCTCATTTTCTGTTTTCTTTCTTTTTGCACGATTTACCTTATTCTGTTGAAACAACCTTTATTAAGTATGCTGATGACCTGATCGTGTCTATTCCAGTTAGCTCTCACTTACAATGGACTGAATTAAATGGATTCTTGTCTGTAGTTGGCCAATGGTTCAAGTTAAATTCTTCTAAATATCAACTGCTAATTTAGCCTCAGACGTGAACAAGATGGACTTGTTTGGCTGCTTAAATGTCATGACGCCTGCTGCACCGATGGTATTTATGGAGGAAATAAATCGAGTGTTAACTATCTTGGGTTGGGTTTCACTTCTGATCTTTATTGGTCGTCTCATATCTTGTTCACTTCTTCGTATAAGTCAGTTTCTACTTTTACAATTTATCGACTCTTGCATATTACCTATTCTTCTCTATTGTTCCCAGCTGATCTTTCCTGGTCTTCTAAAAAATGACTGCGTTATGTTGCGTAGGGCTTCGAAAGCCGTCAGCTAGTAGGGTGAGTGGCATGCTTCTGATTCAGCTGATTAACACTGTAGTTGATAGACATTTAAATCCTCGCAAGCAACTAGCTACAGCTATATTACCTAACACTGAATATTCACTTCATTAACAGCTCTCCCTATGTATCCCCTCTAAGGGGGGGGGGGGACAAGAATAAACTATGTATGACTGTTTGCTCGTACAGCCAAGTTCTTATGTTAACACTATTCGAAATGTTGTAAAGGAGTATATACATACACGTATACTTTGTTGTTGTTGTTTTTGCAATATACCAAGCAGAGAATTCCAAATTGTACCACAAATTAGTGTTATTGCTTGTATTACACCGTCGTTGATTGGACCGAATTGATCAGTCTCTGTTGGCATATGGGCTCCTATGCGAATGGCTCGATATTGCCTGTCCTTTTTAACAATGTTTAGTAATGATCGGCAATGGCTAGCAGTGGAATCCAGGGTGCGCATCTCATCCTATTTGGGACTCGTCAGCTGGATGTACCTGCACCCCAGTGCAGTGATGTTGTTCTCACCGAGACTCGGACTCGGGAGCGATCGCTTCAAACGCCAGCGCGTTGTCCACTACACCACCGAGCCACGATAGCCACTTCTTGTGCGACGCGTATAGGTTTAGTGTTATTGTTTGTATCAATTCGGTCCAATCAACGACGGTGTAATGCAAGCAATAACACTAAATTTAAAGCAACTGGTCCCGTTGATAAATTTAAACAGCGTAATGAGAAGACGAAGATTATCTGAAACATATGATGTATTAGCGCTATGCACTTCGAACAATCTGATCACCAATATAAACGTGGTTTAGTCAGATGCTTATTCAACAGGATAAACCGTATCTGCACCGATGACACCAGGGAGGAAGAAACCAACTTACTGACGACAACTCTGATACAGAATGGATACCCGTTGAGATTTATCGACAGGTGCAAAAGTTATGTGCCATTGAAAAGTACACAGTGTTCCGTTGCTAAGAGAAATGTCTGCATCTCATTACCATTTAGAGGTGATTCACATAGCTTTGTGATGACGAAAAGACTTAGATCGGCCATCTGTGAAACGTATTATGCAGCTAAGGTCATCATTGTAGAGAAGACCAAGTCCATGTCACAGCACAAACCGAAACAACATATAAACGATTACATCATATCCCCCTGTGTTTATCAGTTTACATGTATGTGTGGACACATATATAAGGAGGGGTAATCGTGATATGCAGTTAAGGAAGGTTGAACATGTACCTAAGTGGCTACAAAAACAAATGACCTCAACAGATCCGATAAGTGCAGGTGACAAACATCCATCTTCGTCTATCGCTAAACATATACTAGAAACTAACCTTAGGATAGACATGAAAACAGCCTTTAAAGTACTACATAAAAGTGGTCAGAGCTGAGTGCCTAAATTTATTGAAGCCCTTGCCATCCGTAAATAACACTAAACCTATACGCGTCGCACAAGAAGTGGCTATCGTGGCTCGGTGGTGTAGTGGACAACGCGCTGGCGTTTGAAGCGATCGCTCCCGAATCCGAGTCCCGGTGAGAACAACATCACTGCACTGGGGTGCAGGTACATCCAGCTGACGAGTCCCAAATAGGACGAGATACGCATCCTGGATTCCACTGCTTGCCACTACGCATCACTACTAAACATTGTACCACAAATTGTTTGGAATAAAGTGAATTATTAGAACAAGACAGTTATCCAGTGTTCATAGGTTTTCATTATTTCTCTAAGTGATTTCAGTTCATGATGAAAATCACCTTGAAGTCAATCAGTCTCTATAAACTTTCAAATTGAGTTTTGACTCTTCAGTGACTATGAGTCACTTGCTTTGAGATGAAATTTCTTGGAGTTCTCTTAACAAGTAGGGTAAACTAAGTTGAATGTTAGGATAGATACTCAATATGTGCTATATTGTGAATTGAAAAAAGTAGGAAATAGGGATCATTGGATTCCAACCCATTGGCTTGATGACAACGTTTATTTCAAAAGACTTGAAAGATCCTGGATCCGATACTTGGTAAGGTGGAGTCATGGCTTCGGATGCCTAAGGAGTGCCATACCAGATTTAAACAACTCTCCAGTGCTTACGATTTTGAATAGTTCTCTAAGTGATATCTGTCTGTAATGAATACCAGCTTGATATCAGTAAATCCCCCCTCAAACTTCCAAATTGAATACATTTTTCTATTTAATTTATTCCTGATTTCTTTCTTATCCCCACCTTTCTTTTCTACATCGTATCTTCTTTTTTTCCTATTATTACTAATTAGATTTTGGCTATTTCATGGAACCGATGTCTACCTATTGACTATACCAACATTAATCCTACTTGGGGTAAGTAAGCATACCAATCTTTTTATTTTTGTGTAAATATGTGTGCGGGGGGTAAGGTGGCAGGGTAGGGGGTTACATTGTCATTTCTACGCTCTTCTACCAGCAGACTTCAGAAAGATGTAGACGTGATCATTAGTTAACTGTTTGTGCACACCCTACGGAAAATCATTCACAATGAGGATTATGCATTCTGAAGTCAATGAAGACTTTAATTTTAAGGAAGTATTCATCATGAACTACCGGATGGAATCCCACTAGAAGTACTGAAAACAGACGCAGAGACAATAGCGGACATGATCACACCACTACTGCATAAGGTTTGGAAAGAAGGGAAGGTACCTACCGATTAGAAGAAAGGCTACCTGTCAAAACCCCAAAGAAGGGATACCTAAGCTTTTGCAAGAACTGACACGAAATCATGCTGCTGTCCCTACGAAGCAAAATATTATGCTGCAACATCTGGAGAGACTATAAGATGCCCTGGATTTGAAAGTACGACCGGAATAGACTGGCTTCAGCAAGAAAAAAGTATGTGCGGATCGAGTTGCAACGCCATGCTACGCATCATCATAGAACAGAGTATAGAATGGCAGTCAACTCGAATCAACCTCAGCTTTATCGATTTTGAAAAGACCTTCGACAGCGTCAACCGAGAAGTAATTTGGCAACTGCTTCAACACTATGAAATGCCACAAATCTTTAGCAGCCTCATTCAACAACTATATGACGACGCCACATGCCAAGTGATCCACAATGGAAAGCTGAGTGACGGCCTTGAAGTGAAGACAGGAGTAACACAAGGCTGTCTATACCAACCATGATATTCATGATTGTGGTCGACCGGATTGGATCATGCAGCAACCCGAGAGGAGAGTGAAGATGGTCATACGCTGGACTGATGAAAAGACCCCACAAGAAGTAGATTTCATGGACGATGATTTGTGTTTAATGTCTCGTCTCACAAACTCGAAGATGTACAGGCAAAAACTAACAAGTTGACAGAAGAGGCAGGGCAGGGCAGCGAAAACGGGACCTCAAGTGAATGTAGAGGAAACAGATGTGATGAAGATATCACACAACCAACAACAACAAGAAGCACCAATCACCATCTACAGGAGAAACCTAAAGGAAGTAGTCTCTTTCACCTACTCACATAGACAGCATCGTTTCAACTACAGGCAAAGGCACAGACGAGGATGTCAAAGCCAGCCAGAATAGGAAAGACAGCAAGACAGGTTTTCACTAATCTGAAGTCAGCGTGAAGATCTACTGCACTCAGGACAAAGCGTGAACAAGATTCGGATTTTCAACACCAATTCAGTCAAGTCAGTGCTTCCATGAGATGGTTCAGAAACTTGGCGTGTCACGAAAAGCATTTTCAACGAACTACAGACATCATCAACAGCTGCCTTGGCTGGCTCGATACTCAGGATCACAGTGAGAAGGCCGACTGGGGACATCACGCAATAGGCCAGGCAGTCGAGTGGAATCCAAAGGGGAAACGACGAGTCGGCCGTCCGAGGTGAGGATGACATGGTGATCACATGAGGAAGGAATGAAAGGTTGTGGGCAGTAGTGGCGCCAGGTTGAAAAGATTGCAGAGAAGAGAGTGGAATGGAGGCGTGCTGCTGAAGTCGTATGTTCCACTAGGAACCCAAAGGAAAAATAAAATAATAAAATTTACTCATTATGGACTAACATTATTTGAAGGACCATTGAAAACCTATGAACACTGGACAACTATTTCATCCTAGTATGAGACACCTCAGGAGTACTCAGTCATGACTCCTCTTCTCCAGCGATTGAACTCACCACCTTCAGTTTAACGCTGAAAGCGCTAACGCTTCAGCCAATAGGTCGGGTTTAAATGGTTCACAGCTTCGTACTTCTATCAATTCGTTATATAACATGGCTATCCACCATTCACTTCACTTCAGACTGGTTGACTTCCCAAGTCACACCTCATTAGAGCTCGAGATATCCATCTGGAAGCATGTCACTCACTAATGAACACTATACAGTACTGTATTTTAGGATTAATCAGGATTTTAATCTTAAGATGACTGAACAGCTAACACTTTCATTACGAAACCTAAGCATCCTGAGTTCAATCTCTAAGCGGGTCATGTGGTGGATGAAATGAAGAGTCTTTTTGTAATAAATGAGCTATACAGATGGCCAAGACAAAGAAAGAGGCTGTACGAATCTCTTCTGAACACACAGACTTGGCTTGTGTAGGTGGATTCCTATGGCTTCTGCTGTATGTAAAAGACGAACTCGTAGAGGATGGGTGAGGTGAGAAGGAATGTGATAAATAACTTTAAAGGCATTATGAATGTTAACTCGGTGGCCGGTGTCAATCAGATGAGAGAGTATTGAGCTTCGTGTCAGTCTGGTTTCCCCCTTACTTAGCCATGAAGGATGATGCTCGGCGATTCGACGACGGACTTGCCTAACTGTACGTCCAATGTAACTAGCTCCACAGGAGCAGTTGAACTGGTAAATGCACATAGAAGAGGAGAAGTCAGGGAGTCTGTCTTTAGTTCGTGTGGTCATCATCGGCCGGCTGTAGAAAACACAACATAACTTGGCGGCATTAAATGATCTTCTTATGGCATTTCTTAAGCGTTGTGTCACAATTTCGCTGATGATGTCACCTCGAAATTGTAGTCTTAGGAACAATGGTTTCTTGGAGACTGTAGGCATTCTGGTTTTCATATTGGATGTGTTCATATTTTTAGCCAGGAACGTTTCTGGATATCCATTACTACTGAGTAGATCGTGGATAATTTGAAGCTCTTCGTCAAAAGTATCATCTGAACAGATGAGTCTCGCCCGATGGACCAAACATTTAACGAGATTTCGTTTATATTGCAAGGGGACGAAACTCAAGAAGTGGGTGTATTGACCTGTTGACGTTGGTTTCCGATACACACTTCTTTTTATAGTTCCATCCACCTTCCTTGTCAATCGGACATCTAAGAAGGTGATGCTGTCGTCACTTTCTGTTTCAATAGTGAAGGTTATTGCTGGATGGACGCCATTGAATTCATCCAGTATGATCCTTGCATCGTCCTCGTTATTCACAATCAAGAATGTATCATCTACATAACGGCAATAAAATTCTAACCCGCTTATGATGCTTTCCAGAGGGCCATTTTCTAATTTTGCTAAGAAGAAATCCGCTAAGATTGGGCCTAGTGGTGACCCCATAGCGACACCGTCTGACTGTCTATAGAATTCCTTATTGAAGAGAAAGTGTACATTCATTGTACATCGTAAGAGAAGCTCTTTCAAGGTGGATGCCGTAATTCCAATTTCTATGTTTCTCTTTTCCAGTTCGCTACATATGAAGTCCACTGTTTCCATCAGAGGGACATTTGTGAATAGGGATGATACGTCTAAGGATATCATAGACTTATTATTCACATTCAAATCTCTTATTTTATCGATAAAGTGAAAAGTACCTTTGACGCGGATAGTCTAGAGGCCAACGGCTGGTCAATAAATTTGTAGCAATCAAATTAAAGCAACATTTTTTGCTGTCAGCCAATTGGACATTAAAAATATAGAATGGTAATAAAAACGAATCTATATTGGTGGTTAAAACACAAAACGGTTGACCATTAGGCTATATCCTGCATGATATAACTAACCCTCCCAACCCCCCACCTTGTTCGGCGGTTTATCTAAGTGACACTCGATGATCAGATTTAGTAGAGATTGAATTTGGGGGCTTGCGGAGGATTTAGAAATATTTCTTTAAGTTGAGTTTCATCATAGATTGACATCAGTTGGAGGAACATTGGAAACCTGAGAGCACTGGACAGCTGTTTCCTTCTAGTAGGAAACTCTTAAGCAGTGCACACCCACTACCCCTCCACGGACCAAACCTGCGACCTTCAGGTTCCATGGTTAATGCTCATTGGTGACTCGCTTTGAGGGGTGATTCCTGAAGTTTCAATGAGAAGTCGTGACCAGTAAGGCAAACCTGGTTTCCATGAGGATAAATACTCAACGATGACATTGAGTGGCAGTCACGCTATTTGATGAACTGACAGAAGTTGGAAATATGGACCACTGGATTCCGATCCAGTGACTAGCTCAATGGTAACGTACTGGCCGCGAAACCTGAAGGTCCTGCGTCCGACCCCTGGTGGTGTGGGGTTGTGGGTGCCCATTGCTGAAGAGTCCCATACTAGAACGAAACAGCCAGCTATCCAGTACCCCCAATTTTTCAATGCAATGCTGAATGAGGTCAAGTTGAATCATGAGATTTCTTGAAATTTCATGTACAGCTAATTGATGAGTGCCAAAATTTACAAAAAATTATGGTAAACAAGATATTGTGTCATTTGCTAAATGTTGATACTTTTAATCTTTCATTTTTGTACTTCATCGAATCACTCCATATTTGACGTAATGTGTACTGGGTTCGAATGTCAGTGAAATGCAGGTGTATTCAGCTGATGAGTCCTAAAAGGGACGAATCACGTGTCATTGATTCACCGCTAACTACCGGGTAAAATATGACTTAGTGAATATTCGAGTAGTATCAAAACATCTGTAGATGAGCCCACCTGCCAACAGAGATCAAGCAATTTGGCTCAGCATACCAACGGGAGATCTTAAGTATCAATACGTAACAAATGATACCCGTTGCACAAGAGATGACTGTCGTGCCTCAGTCACTCGGTGGATAACGTTTTAGCCTTTGAAACAGTAAACATTGCTGGATGGGTATCAGTGGGGATACGACCACTCATTTGGATTGCAAGTACATCCAGGTGACGAGTCCGTGTTGTAAAGTTATTAGTAATTACACTTTTCACCTTTCACATGTTTCACTGAATGCTTTTTTTCCTTTCAGTTGAATGTTTTATTTCTGATAGCTATCCTGTATGCATTGAATGACAAATTACGTAAACGTGTAATCATAGCGAACGCCAACATCAGCAGTAACAATAATGATACAAATAGTTGTCGTCGTAACACTATCCATGATACTGACACACAACAACATCATAGAAAATCAACTAATCTGTTTACTGATCCCTATGAAAACTATACATCAATGGATGATGTTTCTGACTTACAACCATTACCGAATTTTGACGATTATCATCTAGCCGGGTATATAGCACCACTGAATAAATGCAATTCTTACTATCCCCATCAATCTACACATAGTAAGTCATTATTATTACGGCATAAGTCGAATTCAGAGACGGGTGAAACTACAATGAATGAAATGTATCGAAGTAGGCATCAAGACACTACTAATATTAGTAGTAGGAGTAGGAGTGACAATAATAATAATGATGATAATTCCGAAGGGAAGCAACTACCCATATCACATCCTAAAAGGCGATTTCAATCACTGCCTAACACATCGCCTTCACCATCATCATCGTCAGCAATACTATCAGGAGTTTCAAATCAGCGTCGTCATTATCAACAACGACAATTACATGATGAAAATGATTTCTATCAGAAATCAAATCTATCATCAGTGCCACCTCCATCATCATTATCAGCATCATTTATGCATCGAATTAGTCGTGATGCTTCATGTCGTTCATCACAAATCAGTGATATATCCAGATTTGAACTACCCGGTACAACACGTATACGCTTAACTAAACTGATTGGTCGTATAAGTGGAAGAGAATTTGTGTAAGTTTAAATTTTGGTGAAAAATTTTTTTCAACCTCATTACATATCGATGCCATGAGCTAACAGAAGTTGGAAATATGAAGCATTGGATTCTTACCCACTGGCTAGCTCAATGGTAATGTGCTGGCCGCGGAACCTGAAGGTCGTGGGTGCGCACTGCTCAGGAGTCCCATACTAGGACGAAACAGCTGTCCAGTGCTCCCAGGTTTCCTATGTTCCTCCAACTGATGTCAGTCATCTACGATGAATAACAACTTGAAATATCGATATCCGTTGAAAAAGCACTGAACAAACAAAACACCTTACAGCACTGAATATCTAATCGATCTAGCTTGCAGCATCTTAATGGCGCACATTCATGATCTTATGATCCAAACGGTATCAATCCATGATGGTAAAGATTACTTTGAATTTGATGTTGTCATCCTGAGAACGATGGCATATTTGTTTACAGTGAAACTGGCATTTTGAGAATTCCACACTATCGCGTCTTTTAAGTTTAAAGGCAAGCACAAAAAGGTGTGCTCCTTTTATCCGTAAGCACTTCCTAGTGTTCAGTTATCACATAAATGAATTAGAGGTAGTAATCATCACGGTCTAAAACCAGTTGGAGAACCATTGAAAATCTGGGAACATGATGATGATTATTATTTTTCCCTTGGGTTCTTAGTGGGACAGGACTTCAGCAGCACGTCACCATGTCACTCTCTTCTCTCCATTCTTCTTTACCTGGCTCCACCACTGGCCATTAGCTTTCACTTCTTCGTCACATTATCTCCTCCATGTCACCCTTGGATGACCAACTCATCGTTTCCTATTTGGGTTCCACTCGAGGGCCTAGTACGTGATGTCACTAAACCGTCATGATTCTGGAGGAGATTGGTTCCCACTGCATGAGAGAGAGTGTTTCATACTCTTGAAGTGGATATCATGATAACCACTTCAAAACTCAGTGTGCTCGTGGTTATCGTCTAGGTGACAATATCGGAGTAGATTAGATTGTTGGTTACTCTCCAAGTAACAGTTTGGATAGTCTACTTCTACTCCATCTGCAGATTCCTCATAGATTCCTCGCCTAACACTTCTATTCTATATCTTTTCAGTTTGGACAGCCTTGCCAGCTAACCAGCTCCAAACATTGTGCAAACATTCCATATACCCATTCTCACTTTCGCTTTCATCCAGTGAACAGAAGACACACTGACTAATTGGCTTCCTGAAGGCAGGCTTTCACCAACCGGCCTCATTTCGTCTCTCCAATTCCAAAGAGGAATAGGTTTATTGTTCTTTTTAATATTTTTCTCTGCACTTTGAACCGAGTAGGGTTGCTATCCGTATGCCCAACCTTTCCTCTTTATCCGGGCTTAGGACCGGCTAGTGAACTAGTTAACCAGACAAGGTTACATATAGTAATGTGTCCTTTTGTTGTTACTATAAATAAGATTTTACATTTTACAGAAATGGATTTGTTGAAAATAAAATTTTATTTGTCGAATTAATTTTTGTTTTCGTGAAAATTTTTACATAGTTTATTGATTTATGGAGTGGATTAGGAACTGATACGAAACCTTCAGAACTGTTTTTCCTTCTTATGACGATCATGACCATCTTATTCTACTTTATAAAGATTTGTGTTAAGTGTTTGGAGGCAGTGACTAAGAAACTTCACTTCACCTAGGTTTCATACTTGTCAAGACTCCTCAGCGAAGTATATCTCAGGCTTCAGGAGGAGTCATATTCCCCAGAAGATTTCAAATGACATCATCACTGAGTGATTCACTTTACAACTGACTTCTTATAATACTGGTTAGACGTATATGAGAGGACAAAATACTCTCCAGTAGTGATCAGTGGTTGCATGTCACCTAGTCTTAAAGCATGTCGGTCATATCACTACTAACTTAGTGGTAATGTCTCTTACTGTATAACCCATTGGATGGTGCTACTTTAAAATTTCTGAGTAAACATCACCTCCTTCTGATACAAAAACCTTTTAATTCAGTGAACATATCGTACAGTTAATCCGCTTAATCTAATGTGTGTATCTATCATCCCATCCTTTCTCGTGATTAGTTTCTTGTAACAACTTGAAAAACTCATGGTTTTTTTCTTTGTAGATGACGATTGGTTATATCAGTTGAACGATCTGTTAAACACCATAGAACTGTACTTAGTTATATGATCAATTCTGCTTTCTCTCTTTTCTTTGACTTCAAAATAACATTGATTAATATTTTGCTTTTTTCTCAGGAAAACAGTGAAAGCTAGTTTAACTTTAATGCCTTTACTTGGAATCCCGGAGATCATATTTATTACACCGTATCATCCTTATTTGAAACCGGCATTCGATATTATCAATGCATTTCTAACATCAACTCAAGTAAGTAGACCTAAACAAGATAATAATAAAAATAAGAATTATTATTATTATGATTATTATTTGTCCCATGGTTTCCTAGTGGAACATAGGACTTCAGTAGCACGTCACTATTTCACTCTCTTCTCTCCTGTCTCCTTAATCTGGCTCCACAACTGCCAATAACCACTTTCATTTCTCCCACACACAATCTCCTCCAAATCACCCTCAAACGCCTAACTCATCATTTCCCATTTCGATTCCACTCAACAGCCTCGCCTGATGCATGACATCCAGAAACCGTCTTCACAGTCTATGTCCAATCCAATCCAATCCAATCCAATTTAATCTATCTCCATCCCTTATTCTCCATACTTATTTGACAATAGCTTATTGCTTCGTTGGTTGGTTGGTTGCCAGGCCACACTTCCTCCTTGATCATTCCTTCTCGCCTTCTCATCTCATCTTCAGTATCAAGTGAACGTAGATGGCAACTGTTCATGTATGTTTGTGGTTAGTTGGAGGTGTTTTTTGTAAGGTGCCAAGTCTCTGAACCATCATCACATGGAACTACTGACTTGACTGACTTAGTGTTGAAAATCCAGATCTTGTTCATGGTTTATGCTCAGTGCAGTAGACCTCCACAGATTAATGATTGGTGCTTGTTGTCGTTGGTTAGGTATCTCCATCACCTCTGTCTCCTCTACGTTCAACTGAAGGAGGTGCCGTCTTCGCTGCTCTGTCTCTTCTGACAACTTGTTAGTTTTCGTCTGTACATCTTTGAGCTTGTACCATATCAGATATAAATCGTCATGGGTGAAATCCAAATCTTCTAGGGTCTTTTCAGTATAAAATTCTCAACATGTAATATTTCGTCAAACTGGATTAGTGTCTAGTGTTTGGTGGCAGTGGTGGTGGATGATACGTTGGGTAAGGGATTAAAATAAACTGAAAGGGAACAATCTGATATAGTATGTCTAGTGAAAAGTTTCATTGGTAACCAAAATTTCAAGCAAACTGCCAGATGTTCAATGTTTTGTATAGGTGGATACAGTCGATTTAGTAAACCACCCAGTTTTTTTTTAAAGGATTACATTTTGACTAGAAATCAAGTTATTCCATCTTAAAAGTGGATGTATAATGCTGTATTGACAACTTCCTTGTCACGTTCTCAGGTTATATGATCTAACTAGTTACATTTAGTAAAGAATATTCTTTATAGACTCAACTGTATTGATTGGTCACGGGAGTGCAACCAATTTCATGTTGTCTAGTCCTGAGTGCAGACCGAATTCTATCGATCATATTTTTGCAATGCGGCAACCAAGCTAGGAAGCTCAGCATTACGGTGCACATTCAATCAATCAATATCAACATGGGGTCAGGCATTACTGCATAACGGTCCCACTTACCACACCTCATATCAGTACATCAAGTAGAAAGATAGAGTAAGGTGAAAGATGAAGATAAGAGAATGCAGTCAAAAGAAATATAAAGTATGAGAAGAAAGGAAAGAGGAGCGTCAAAATGGTGAGATTTAGTGTAGTGTAGTTAAGATGAGGATAATACGTGTGGGGATACATCTGTGCCACTGACATCGGTTCTCACTCATATCCTTTAGAGTCTGCAACCACTGGTTCCTCTTGTCCCACTGACCCCAACCACCTAGTCTGCATCGCCCCATATGACTCAAACCAACAGTCAGAGACTTCATACACTGGTGCCATGTTTTAGTCTGGCCACCTCGGGCCTTTTTCCAGGTGGTGCACATTAGTAGATGTTAGCTAGTTGGTCGCTGACTACAACACTGGATGACGCGGGTTCGAGTCGCAGGCAGGACATCAATTCCGTCGAGGTTGCAGATACACCTTGCTGACGAGCACCAAAAAGCACGAAACCAAGGTCCATGGCTTCCTACCGAATGCCTTCAACTAACTAACAAGACTCAACTGTCTTCAATAATGAATGAATACAAGAGTGTCAAAGTTGTAAACATCTTGGGTTTCGTCTTGTTTTCTAACAAAATAACAATACCACATCATTTTTTGAAGCTTTTGTTAATCCCGCTAAAAAATTAGTAACTAGCTAAGAACTATTTCAGGTTGTTATTCATCGTAGACTGATATCATTTGGAGGAACAAACGAAACCTGGGAACACTGGACAGCTGGCTGTTTCATCCTAGTATGGGACTCCTCAACAGTGCGCACCCACCACCTCACACCACCAGGGATCACATCCGCGACCTTCAGGCTCCGCGTCCAGCACATTACCATTGAGCTAGCCAGTGGGTCAGAATCCAATGGTCTATATTTCCAACTTCTGTTAGCTCACGATATAGCGCAACCGCCACCCAGTGTCATCTTTGAGCAACTGTCCTCACGACCATCAGGCTTTGACTCCACAGTGGCTCAATGGTAACGCGCTGGCCGAGGAACCTGAAGGTCGTGGGTTCGATCCCTGCTGGTGTAAGGTCGTGGATGCGCACTGCTCAGGAGTCCCATACTAGGAAGAAACAGCTGTCCAGTGCTCCCAGGTTTCTTTTTTTCCTGCAACTGATGTTAGTCTACGATGAATAACAACCTGAAATCTCCACAACTCCCTCAAAATTTAGTTAAGAACTACTCCACTACTTCGAACAAACAAACGAACGAACTTTTAATGTCTGAACAAAGAAAATAATAACTTCACAACTATTAAATTCAGATATATGGTGTTTAACCTCGTTAGAAAACCATAAAGTTGTTTTCTTAAGCTCAGTATTTGCCGTCTAGGTAACAGCCTTTGAAGTTCAGTAATCAGCAGACATTATTGGCATTAATTCGAAATAGCTATGGAAAACGGTTAGTTCAGATGCATGGAAAAAAACATAAACTATCAAGACAGGCACGGAACTTTCCTAACAGTTGAAAACACTAACCTGAAGCACATATTTATAGTACTCATTAGCCACGTGTTTCGAGATGAATATCTGAAAGTTCTAGTGAGAATCCGTGACCTTGAGGGTCAACCACTCTGAAGTGAAGCGGATACTAACTGACTGGATAGTCACGCTATATTGTGAACTGACAGAAACTGGAAACTGTGAACTGCTGAAAACTGACTCAGTGGCTGACTGATTAACGCTTTCATCGTGAAACCTGAAGGTGCTGAGTTCGATCCCCAAAGGAGTAGGGCCGTGAGTAGGTACTCATGAGGAGTCACAAACTAGGACGAAATAGGCATTCAGTACTCCCAGTTTCTTAATGGTTCGTCAACTGATGTCAGTCCGTAATGAAAATTATCTTACATATATATATATATATATATATATATATATATATATATATATATATATATATATATGCCTTTATCAACCTCATTCAACAACCATATGAAGACGCCACATGATGAGTCATTCACAATGGAAAACTCACCGACGACTTTGAAGTGAAGACAGGTTGACAGGTAAGACAAGGTTCCCTCTCGCCTACTATCACCGATGATCTTCCTCATTGTGGTCGACTGGATTATGCAGAAAACCGTGAGGAGCTTGAGGAGAGGCATACGCTGTTTCACCGATGAAAAGACCCTAAACGATTTACATTTCACCAATGATGATTTGTGTCTGACGTCTCTTGTCACACAAACTCGAAGATGTACATGCAGAAACCGACTTGTTGACAGAAGAGGTGAGGCAGCGAAGACGGTACTTCCTTCAGGTGAATGTAGAGAAGACGGAGGTGATGAAGATACCCGACCAGCAACAACGGGAGAAGTGTAAAGGAAGTAGTCTCTTCCACCTACCTACCTAGGCAGCATCGTTCCAACTGCAGCTGGTGGCAGTGACACAGATGACGACATCAAAGCCATGGTGTGGGAAGTAAGATAGGTCTTCATTAATCAACAAGCAGTGTGGAGATCTACCGCACTCAGCATAAACCGTGAACAAAATCTGGATTCTCAACACTAAGTCAGTCAAGTCAGTACTTCCATGTGATGATGGTTCAGAGACTTGGCGCCTTACAAAAAAACACCTCCAACTAACCACAAACATACATGAACAGTTGCCATCTACTTTCACTCGATACTGAAGATGAGATGAGAAGGTGAGAAGGAATGAGCAAGGAGGAAGTGTGGCCTGGCAACCAACCAACCAACGAAGCAATAAGCTATTGTCAAACAAGTATGGAGAATAAGGGATGGAGATGGATTAAATTGGATTGGATTGGATTGGATTGGACATAGACTGTGAAGACGGTTTTGGATGTCATGCATCAGGCGAGGCTGTTGAGTGGAATCGAAATGGGAAATGATGAGTTAGGCGTTTGAGGGTGATATGGAGGAGATTGTGTGTGGGAGAAATGAAAGGGGTTATTGGCAGTTGTGGAGCCAGATTAAGGAGACAGGAGAGAAGAGAGTGAAATAGTGACGTGCTACTGAAGCCGTATATTCCACTAGGAACCTAAAGGAGAAATAATGAACTTATATATATAAAGATAATTATTCACATCTCACAGATTGTGAAAATTTTTCTGAAAACAATAATTGTACGTCACTGACGAGCTTAATCTCCTTCAAACATGCTACATCATACAGGATTTTCACCTAATCTGTTTCTACTTAAGCAATCTCGAGTTAGGCCTTTGAAAAATACACAAGCTATGAGATGAACATTAAGATTCAATAAGTAGTATATTGACATAATGAAAAACATTTTTCTATTTTCCTTGCCAGGGAATATGGGTTACTCTGCTTTATTGTTTCTTGACCAAAGAGGTGAGTTTGGAATTTTTTCAGTCTTTGTCTAATGTATACCGACAGCATATTATTATGTTAATTTTTTTCCCTTGGGTTCCTAGTGGAACATACGACTTCAGTAACACACCTCCATTATTCTACTCTGTTCTCTCCAGTCTTTTCAACTTACCTCCACGACCCCCCACAACCTGTCATTTCTTCCTCACACTATCTCCTCCATCTCACCATCACCTCGGATACCCAACTCGTCCTCTACAATTTCCATTCCACTCAACGGCTTGGCGCGTCACATCCCCAATCGGTCTTCTCAGTGTATGCCAAATCCAATCCATCTCCACTTTCCACTGCTGCATATTTGTTGGATGATAGCAAGTGTAGGTGGTAGCTGTTGATGATGTATGTCTGTAGTTTGTTGGAAGTGCTTTTTGTGACGCACCAAGTCTCTCAATCATCACATGGAATCACTGACTCACTTGACTGAATTGGCATTGAAAATCCAGATCTTGTACACGGTTTATGCTGAGTGCAGTAGATCTCGACAGTGATTTCAGATTTATGAAAACCGATGGCATATACATCCTGTAATTATGAGTAGGAAGAAAAGTTGATAAACTGTTTCTGGGTTAGAATTAAATTTATATGTTCGACTATCTGAGATAGCCACGATATGGCAGACTTGTACTATTGATAATGGTTGATGATTGGAGGTGAAATGAAAGTTTAAGCTGCTTTAGGGTTCGAACCAGTAGCCTCCAAGTCACCGGCCCAGTACTCTACCAGTCGAGTTACAACAATCAACTGCTGATCAAATCCTAATTTCATTTCAGTCACCAGCTATTTAGCCTGATTGTCACATGTGTGAATTCGTGACACGTTACTGTGATTCAAGTTTAACTGACACATTTAGCAATTAGTTTCGGTAATCTACAGTAGTGGTAACATAATTTACTGTCTCAATTTTCAAATCCTTATTGGTTGTCTGTGTTGTGTGCATAAATCAGCCTGCCAATCAAATGTATCTCACTTGGTTCGACAGCTTAAATGCATCAATAAGTTTATATTTCAGTTTCAATGCCCTTGTATGCAGAAAGTTAAATCTGATTGGACATTTTAAACCAGTAGATGATAGTGAGATAGACAGCCAAACAAGCAGGCAGGCGTTAATCTTTAAATGTTATTGGTTAAAACCAATTATGTTCGTTTTGATTGTAATTAAGTCTAGGCACATTACTTAGTTTATTCGGCTGTGCCCTGCATAAATAATAAATATTTAGGTGTTATCGAGGCACCCGCGTTAGAGCCCAAATGGCAATAGAGACGGAGAAATTCGGTGCAGTAAAACAGCGAAGAATTACAAGTATGTCGTGCCTCCATGGCCATGCAGATGACGCCTTGATGCTTGAAGCGATGGGTACGAGGTTCGTGTGTCAGTGGGAACATCACTGTGGTGCAGATACATTCAGCTGACGAGTGACAAATAGGACGAAACTCGCGTCCTGGATTCGTCTGCTAGCCACAACGAAGTAAATTACCGTATCAACAAACAGTAATTATTTGTAGTCCTCAATTGATAAAAGGTTCAACATAACTTCTATCTCAAACAACTGTTTATGGCAGCTTTGAGCACGAATCGATATCAAGGAGAGAAACATTCAGAACTTGGATGCTCTGATCAGCTGTTTTGTCCCAGCTTGGAACTTCTCAGTAATACGTACCCACGACTTCACCGCAGATGGGAACGTCAGGTTTCGTGGCGAGTACATTACTAACCACCAACTGTGGTTGAATTTAATGGTTAATATTCTCTCACCTCTGTAATTTGGCAACATAGCAAGAACATCAGATATCATCAATGTGTCTCTTCCTACCAACTTCACTGACCCCAAAGGTTACAGCTCCTCATTACAGGTATAAGATACGCATATCGAAGTTGGTCACTACTAAGAACTGCAACACTTCCTGAGGAAACTAACATGAAATCAATAAATCCCTGCAAATCCCTATTTGAGTTACATTCCAATGCTTATGAAGTCCAGCTGCTTCCTGTAGTTGAATATGTTACCTAGTGTGATGCAGGAACATTTTTGTTTCGGCTACTATAACACCATCATCATCATCCAGATCTACATATAATTTGCAGAATACGGTTACTATTTATTGATATACTTGTAATTCCCCATTTTTCTGTTAGATCGAATTGTTCGACCTCTGTTGGCATATGGGCTGGTATGCGGATGCCTCGATATTGCCTGAATGTTAATTATAGTGATTTGTTTTGTTGTGGGTAGCAGAAGAATCCAGGACGCGCGTTTCTTCCTGTTTGGGCTTCGTCAGTGGATTACACCCTGTCGTTTGAAGTGATGGGCGCGGGGTTCGAGTCTCACTGGGAACATTACCACACATTAAGGGGCAGACATATGAAGCTGACGACTGCTAAATAGTACGAAACACGTGTCCTGTAGTCCTCTGCTAGCTACAATTAAACAAATTGCCATAGTGCGGTTAATTCACTTTTTAAGAAGAATACTTACTCAATCATTCCCTTTCTTTTTTATAACCATTAGGTAAGGCGACAGTTTGAAAAGCAACTCAGAACACGTTCACTACGCACCAGTCTTCGTCCACACCGAAGATCTACACGCTTGAATAAACGCTTGTCTGCATAAATGCATCACCTGACTGAGTAAGTGCTTCTTGTCTAACAATTTCATAATTGAAAAAAACTGATCAATTTGAAAATGTATTAGAAACCACACGGTCCACGTATATTGGTGTATTGGCGCGCTCAAGGTCATATATATATATATATATATATGTATATATATATATATATATATATATATATATATATATGACGGTGGTGACCTTGAGCACGCCAATACGGAAACAGCTGCTTCTTTTTAATTTTTAATACAGAAGTGAAGGGATATTACTGTAGATATAGATTTTTAATGATGTTTGCCAAGTTATATTGGCTTCTGATTCCATCCTACTCTTCAGTGTAGAATCACCTACGATAAACTTATCCATATTACCCTATATAACATTCAATTGCCTGAACTACACTATAGACGTAAATAAGCCACCAGGAAGTCTGTTCACGCCTCTAAACTAGTTGTATACACTCCTGTAAAAAGATTTAAGCGTAAAAAGTTGACAACTAAGTTTAGATTTTAGATTCATAAGGGTAGATATTAGTCAAAAACCTACAGACTACGTAGTACATAACTTTGTAACTAAGCCATAAAGCAACAAACAAACAGCAAGTGAGTCCTCTTTTCGCAGCCCGTGCTGATTAATAACAATAGTAATAATAACCATTATGATAACTCAGAAATTATTAGAATGACCACACAGTCAGTAGCAACGTGATTGGTCACCTCAAGGTCACAAACGGATCACACAAGGTTGGCAAGGTTCTTTATTCACCTGAGCAACTTAGCTTTCCAGTTAAACAAATGTATTTCCAGAAAATGAGATATGTAACTATATGTAACCTCGTCTGGTTAACCAGTACACTAGTTACTAGCCGGTTCTAAGCCCGGATAGAGAGGAAAGGTTGGGCATACGGATAGCAACCCTACCCGGTCCAATCATTCCAGTCACTAAACAAACTTCAAAGCACAGAGTAAAATATTAAAAAGAAAAATAAAACTATTCCTCATTGGAATTGGAGAGACGAAATGAGGCCGGTTGGTGAAAGCCTGCCTTCAGGAAGCCAATTAGTCAGTGTGTCTTCTGTTCACTGGATGAAAGCGAAAGTGAGAATGGGTATATGGAATGTTTGCACAATGTCTGAAGCTGGCTGGCTGGCTGGCTGGCTGGCTGGCTGGCTGGCTGGCTGGCTGGCTGGCTGGCTGGCTGGCTGGCTGGCTGGCTGGCTGGCTGGCTGGCTGGCTGGCTGGCTGGCTGGCTTCAGGAAGAACAAATCATGTGTGCACCAAATTGCAACGCTACACTACGCATTATCACAGAACAGAGCATAGGATGACATTCAACTCTCTACCTCGACTTTATCGACTCTGAAAAGGCCTTCGACAGAGTCGATCGAGAAGTAACTTGGTAACTGCTTCAACACCACGGAATACCAAAAACCTTTATCAACCTCATTCAACAACTATATGAAGACGCCACATGATGAGTCATTCACAATGGAAAACTCACCGACGACTTTGAAGTGAAGACAGGTTGACAGGTAAGACAAGGTTCCCTCTCGCCTACTATCACCGATGATCTTCCTCATTGTGGTCGACTGGATTATGCAGAAAACCGTGAGGAGCTTGAGGAGAGGCATACGCTGTTTCACCGATGAAAAGACCCTAAACGATTTACATTTCACCAATGATGATTTGTGTCTGACGTCTCTTGTCACACAAACTCGAAGATGTACATGCAGAAACCGACTTGTTGACAGAAGAGGTGAGGCAGCGAAGACGGTACTTCCTTCAGGTGAATGTAGAGAAGACGGAGGTGATGAAGATAGTCAACCAGCAATAAGAACATCAGCAACAAGTACCAGTTATCTACCTATCCATGGAGCATCGCTTCAACTACACGTGGCGGCGGCGGCAGAGATAAGAATATCAAAGTCAGCATCGGAAAGACAGTAAGACACGCCTTGCTGCATCAACCTGAAATCACTGTCGAGATCTACTGCACTCAGCATAAACCGTGTACAAGATCTGGATTTTCAATGCCAATTCAGTCAAGTGAGTCAGTGATTCCATGTGATGATTGAGAGACTTGGTGCATCACAAAAATCACATCCAACAAACTACAGACATACATCATCAACAGCTACCACCTACGCTTGCTCCATACTGAAGATCAGATGGGCAGAATAATAAGAATAAGCAACAAGGAACTCTGGGAACGAATCAACGAAGAAGCTATCATCCAGCAAATATGCAGCAGTGGAAAGTGGAGATGGATTGGATTTGGCATACACTGAGAAGACCGATTGGGGATGTGACGCGCCAAGCCGTTGAGTGGAATGGAAATTGTAGAGGACGAGTTGGGTATCCGAGGTGATGGTGAGATGGAGGAGATAGTGTGAGGAAGAAATGACAGGTTGTGGGGGGTCGTGGAGGTAAGTTGAAAAGACTGGAGAGAACAGAGTAGAATAATGGAGGTGTGTTACTGAAGTCGTATGTTCCACTAGGAACCCATGGGACAAATAACAATAATAATAATAATAATAACTACAGCAGGTTTGTAATAGACTCTAGCTTATTGTTTTGGACTGTATAGTATTAGTATGGAAACTTCCCTTCATCTTTATTGAGTTTAGAACTGAAATTATGAACCACATATAAACTGGAAGTAGTCAACATATCAAACCACACTTATATCAGTAAGCATCACTTCACTGAACAGTTGGCAAGAGTTAATAGATCAGGTGTTTAACTGATAGAGGGTTGTTTAATATATGAAGGCCTAGAATATATATAAAACGTGAACATGGAATCCATCAGTCACTAATATGGCAGGGTAACAGATCATAGGTCTTATGTAATATATAGTGTATACATTAGTGTTGACGTTCTTACTCGACTTTTTTTTATGTTAAATCATACAGAATGAGTCGGAATACCTGGTGTAGTGGTTAGAAACTGAATTTTTACACCACTGAATAATTAGTGTAACAGATTTTACGAAAATCGAGTAAAATAAGATATCAGAGTGATTTTATCAACCCTCTTCTGAAAGCTGTTGATAAATCGTCTACTTGAAAAATTTGAAACATTTAGTCCCTTTGATGAATTTTGATAAACTTCGTCTTCTAATTACACCATCGAAATTCATAAAAGGGAGTAAATGTTTCAAATTTTTGAAGAGAAAACTCCCTTCCTGTACTGTTAAACGGTTAAATGAACTATTTAACCATAAGTGTAAAATCTCATCTCAGAAAGTGAAATTGGAATTCTATAAATCGTGTATTTCTGATCACATTTTCCCAGACAATTTTACAAAATGTTACGATCCTCTAACTGTAACCCAACCTTTCAAATCTTGTTCGACTTATGAAATCACATATAGATAGTTGCAATGAGAAGTTATGCAGCTTAACTGAAATGCATACTCATGCTTCATGTGTATTGTTGGATATTTCTCTTATATGCCACATTAAATTCACCAATTTTTATAGCTCCGTAATTAGTAAAACGAAGGATAAAACAAGGCAAAAATTGTCTAGATCCCTTTCCAATGATATTCATGCAAACTCATTTCCATGCATTCCAGATAAATATGTAACTAATTTGTCCTCTGTTGTACTTTCGGTTAATGAGAAAGAGGCGCTTTCCCTTGGATTCAACTTTTCAGTTCCATACATGCAAATCTCTCAATTGGATATTGATGCTCAGTTTGAAAATCTCTATAACCAGTTGAGCCTTCTTGTCCCTACATCTTCAGATAACCAAAGTTGGTTAAAGGCTAAATTAGTTGATATTGCTCATCAATTCCATAGTTCAGAAACAAGACAAAGAAGCATTTTGAGTTCATAGCACTTCAAATCTTTGAGAGAATTATAGAACAGATCGGATATAATCATTCTTAAACCCGATAAGGGATGAGGTATCGTTGTGATGAATAAATCTGACTATAAAAATAAAATGTTATCCATCCTCAGCGACGTAAGCAAATTCATAGCCGATGTCCCATTAGAAGATATTAGAAAATTGGAAGCAAAAGTAACCACTCACTTAGTAAAACTTTTGAATATGAATGTCATTAGCAAAGAGGAATTTAATTCATTGAAACCTATGGGATCTGAATTTCCAAATTTATATGGATTACCTTAGATTCATAAAGCTAATAATCCCTTACGCCTTATATTGTCTATGTGTCGTTCTCCCATACATAAACTGGCGAAATGGTTGGTAAAAATGTTAAATCCAGTTCGAAACGAATTCTGTAAGTTTTCATTGGAAGATTCTTTTCAAATTGTTGACTGTCTTAGTAACATGAGTATAAAAAACAAGATCATATACTCTTTCGATGTAAATTCCTTATTCACTAACGTGTCATTGTCCAAGACTATTAGCATTCTCTGTCACTATATTTCCTCAAAAAACCTCCCATTTCCTACTACTCCAACCTTTCTGAGGGAGTTATTATTTCTGTGTACCGACAAAGTCCACTTCACATTTGAAGGTGAACGCTTTCGACAAGTTGACGGTGTAGCTATGGGTAGTCCTTTAGGATCACTACTGGCTGATATTTATATGTCATATATTGAAAATCTGGCTGGTTATCTCATCGTTAAAGTTCCTCTTTACAAGAGATATGTTGATGACATTATAGTGATTTGTGAGATGCATGAGGATATGGTTTGTCTACTAAATAGACTTAACACCGTACAAACACACATCAGCCTGACATGTGAGAAAGAGAATAGTAATCAACTGCCATTCCTAGATATACTTCTCAGTCAACGAGAAGATGGTTTAATAAGACGGTCAGTTTGCAGAAAGCCTACATGGACAGGACAATACCTGAATTTCCACAGTTTTTGTCCAATCCAATACAAGTGAGGTTTAGTAAAATGGCTGTTTAACAGGATCTATCGTATCAGTACACTAGATGCGATAGATGAAGACATCAAATTACTGAGCAAAGCACTCGTGGAAAATGGATATCCGACGAAGTTTATGAACCGTTGTAG